CCTATTTACAGGGCTTACACCACGCAAAAACAATCGCTGTTCGCGAGCGTTCGCGGGCCGGCGGATTTGTTCCCACTTTTTAGGTGGCGACTGGGCGCTCCCCAACGCGGAATGCCAGCCCCCCACCGTGCACAAATCGCAGCATAATTACCCCTACTAGTGGGGGGTATGGAATTGGGGTTGCAAATTTTGCACGATGTCTGGCACACTTTAAAGGGACTGGGACATGTCGGATAACTTTTTAACGTCAAGACGGAGGATATTTCGCAAGTAAAAGGGTATATAGATTCGTAGAATTCGTGAATACCTACGTGTCGCAGCGATCGGTCACGCTACGGGGCTGTAAACTATACCAAAATACGCGCCAGATTTAGGACAAACATTTTGGTGTACATTGCACCATTATAAACGACCGCAATTTAGTTTTTGCCTCTGGTGCCCATAACCTCCCTTGAGCGAACTTCCGCCTAACGTAACGCGGCTCCTCATTAGCTTAGCGCTGTAAAATGTATCAATATACTCGCCAAACCAGACGAACCTTTTGGTGTACTTTACATCACTATATACGCCACTGTAGTTTGTAGTTTTTTGGCTCTGATATAGCTTATCTCCCCCGAGCGGCCCTCCACCTAACGTACCCGGCTCCCCAAGACCTAAGGCGAATCCCACAGTTGGCTAACAAAAATTGTAAAAATTAGCGTGTGCTCTTTTTTAATACGGAAACACTCCTAAAGGCATATTTTTATGAAAAGTAACTGCTCAGAAATCTGAATATGCCCAATTAGACTCCACTTCACGGTAAAGGCGACACTCTGAGCAACTGTTCGTGTTTGCTGCGGCCGTGTGCCCCGGCCGACTACAAGGTGACGCATTTGTGCCTGAACTATCATTTTGTTGGCTTCCGGACCTTACAATACATTCAAATTTTACAGCATCGATGTCGTCGGACGACTCGCTGCCGTCGCTGGATAGCGTCGTCGACGTGGAGGAGTTCCAGCCGCTGTTGGACGCCGAGGATTTGTTGGGGTAAGTGGGAGATATTTCTCTCTCTCATTCTCTCTTTTTCTCGCTCTCTCACTCTCCCTCTCTCACTCTCTCTCTCTCGCTCTCTCCTTTCTCCCTCTCAGACCCTCCACTTCCAGCCTCGGTCAGATGCGCCTCAACTCCCCGGCCTACCAGGCGGGCCTGGACCGTCTGTTCGAGCTCGAGGCGAAGCAGCGTGTCCAGGGCGAGCTCCAGGTCCATGAGTACATCGAAGTCGGCCTCAGGACCTCGTGCCTAAATTCAATTTCCCGATCCAGGGCCTCAACCTGCGGCTGCGGATGCTCGACCTGGAGATGGCGCACCTCGTCAACGTGCCCGGGCAGCTGGAGCTGTTGCCGTTGGCGACGCTGGAGGAGCGACGGGTAGAGTATCTCTCTCTATCTCTCTCGCTCCCTCTCTCTCGTCTGCCCTCTATATAACCTTGGCTTTCCCGGTTCTTGGCTTTTATACAAAACTTTGACCAAAAAGTAGAATCATCAAAAAAAAAGGTTCTGTTCAGACAGCGGCCCGCATGGCCAAGCAGGTCACCAGCCGGGTGCAGGAGATCCACGAGAAGGCCGAGAAAATCCTCGAATCATCCACTAGGGTGCGCCAGGTCGGAAACCCCATGGACCACTCGATTTAAAGGGATTGAGAAGACAAAAATCAGCCTCTAACGACCTTAATTCCTCTTACGTCTTTGTTTAGTACGTGACCCAAGTCGAAGAGCAGCGCCAGCAGCCGACCCCGCCCACGCCGTCGCCGGTCACCTCGCAGCAGAACATGGAATAGCAACCACTACACGGGACTCGTTAATCGTCTTCTTTTATTGTTTTTCCCTTTTGTTACTCGTTTTTTATTGCTCTACTTTGTAAACTCGGTTGAAATCGTGGCTGGTGAATAAACGTTACAATGGTTTTGGGCTAAACGCATTTTCAGAAAATGACAAGGTTTTGAAGCAGTTCAGTTCATCAACACGCCGGCATGACAGCAAATCTTTCAAAAATGTGTATGACATTTTCAAATCAGACTGAGACATGAAAATGACAACGTTTTCAACGCGTACAGCTCATCTATCTGTCTCTACCGATGGCAATGGCGGCGTTTTTCGGCGAAAAAATTAGAATGCGGGGAAATGTGGCGGCGGAGGAAGCGCCAAAAATAGATTTGGATGCTAATGAAGGGATTTACCTGGCAAAATGTTTAGAGGAGGAAATTAGTTAATAATGGGGGTTACAAGGTCTGGGTGAGTGATTAAAGTTTGCGTGGCTGTTGCTGCTTCCTTACTCGGCAATCGGGCCATACGAGCAAAAATTTGCATGAGATTGTGGAATTTCCGGTTTTGAAATGCTCCAAATAACTTACTGACATTTATTTGGAGCCGCTACCAGCTGCTGCTTCATCTAAAGGTATGGGCAACTATTTAGCGACCCCCCCCCCCCCCTTCCCCCCCCCCCCCCCCCCCCCCCCCCCCCCCCCCCCCCCCCCTCTCTCTCTCCCTCTCTCTCTCCCTCTCTCTCTCTCTCTCTCTTGCTCGCTGTAACCGCTTACGCCATAAAATTCCAGGACTCGATGCCGCCCCGCTCCTCCGAAATGGACCGCCCCGCCGAGGTGGAGGCCTCTACGGCCCCGGCTGACGTTGACCTGGCTGCTCTCGATTTGCTTGGGTAGATGAAGCTTGCAGAATATTACATGCGGAATTAAACCTTATTTATCAAAATGTGTTTTTTGTTGAAAACGCGTTCTTTTTTTTAGCCTGGAGCGGCTGCAGGCGACGTGCCCGGTCTACCAGGAGCGCGCCGCGCGTCTCGCCGAGCTGCGGCTGAAGAGCGAGGCCGGCGGGTTGCCGTTGGAGGAATATCTGGAGGTACTTGCGCAACGATACTTCCCATGATGATCCACGGGTACATGCAGCCCCCGATCTCGTCCGCTTTCGCGTTATTCTGCTAGGCAGCACGTTGAATTCGGGCAATTCCGCTACATTCCGCTTGGTGACGTTCGTCGCATTCGCTATAGTCTCGCCGTTTAGCCTATTTCCCTTCGATTCCGCTACGTTCCTATACCCTAAGATCAGCTCCGATATGGCTCTACGAAATTCCAGGCGAGTAGTCTGCAGGCGAAGCTGCTGGGCATGCAGCTGCGCCATCTCATCAAGCTGTTGGAGGAGCTGGCGCTGATCGTGGAGGAGGGCTACCAGGAGCAGCAGATCGTTGCAGGGCAACCACTATCTTTCACAACTTTTTCTTTCAGCAAATCGCGCTGCTGACGCGACTGGTGCTGAACAAGCTCGACGAGATCCAGCGGCAGATGGTGGCTGAGCATGCGCAGCTGGATCGCGTGAGAGGAAAATGGAAGATAGAAAATTCGATGAGTTCTAGGTCCTCGCGCAGCTCAAGGAGATCCGTCGCGAATGCTCTGTGCATGGTGAGCAGCAGATGAAGTCTGAGGAGAAGGAGCAGCCGGAAAAGCTGGAAGAGCCGGTGAACGAGTTGAAGGCGTCGGAGCAGCAGAACAAGGAATAAAAGCACTACGGATTAGAAGGAATCGATTAATTCGTGGATTATATTACGGATCGGAATGTTGTATTTGTGGGTATGAATAAACTGTGTGATGTGGCTCGGTGGACGAGTAAATCAGAGAAAGCGAGAAAGAAAGAGAAAGATACGGACAAAGAGAGAAAGAAAGAGAGCGCGAGCGAGGGAAAGCGACAGGGAGGGACAGAGAGGGGGAAGGAGAGAGAGAATGGGAGCGAGAGAGGACGGGGCGAGCGGGAGAGAGCGGGAAAGAGAGCGAGAAAGCGAGAGAGATGGAGAAAGAGAGAGACAGCCAGAGCGTTAGAGCGCGAGCGCAGGCGAGAAACAGAGGAAACAAATCAGGAATGCACTATTTGCATCCAACAATAAAGGATTTCCTCATTTTCTATTCATCCCATTTTTCAAGCGGTTGCCTTTGAGGTAGGTTTCACATGGGACTTTCAGAACTGTCCATCAAATTTTTACTGTTTTACATTTTCCAGATTCTGATGCCACCCCGCCCCCGTACTCCAGAATCGCACTGTCGCACCGAGCCCGAGGCGTCCAGCCCGACGGGCGTGAACTGGGATGACGTCGGGGAGGATCGGCTTGGGTTAGTGACCTTTTTGAAGATTTACAGCCCCTTGTAAATGGTATCACTTAAATTATAGCCTGGAGCGGTGGCAGGCGACCTGTTCGAACTACCAGGCGTGTGTGGCCCGGCTGGCCGAGTTGACGCTGAAGGGTCAGGATGGCGTGCTGCAACTGGAGGAGTCTATGGAGGTCTCTCTCCCTCTCTCTCTCTCTCTCTCTCTCTCTCTCTCTCTCTCTCTCTCTCTCTTTTCTCTCCCTCTCTCCTCTCTCTCCCTCTCTCTCTCTCTCTCTCTCTCTCTCGCTCCCTCAATCCATCAACATTAGCTCTGCCGCCTCAAGTCGAAGCAGACGCACCTCGAGCTGAAGTACCTGGACAACGTCTTGGCCGGGTTGGCGGTGCTGAGAGGGCATGAAGCGCCAAATCCCAATATGCGGGTTTGACAAGCCTACTGGACCATCAAAATTTTGTATTTTTAAGGCAATCTTCTGCGTGTACGAGCTGGCCATGGCCAAAACGCAGGAGATCATGCAGCGCATGCAGCTGGACCAGAGTGAAAAGTCTGAGGTATTTTGTTGTTGCTGTTAATTTTCTGCCTTCCAGGTGTTGGCTCAAGTCGAGGTGATGCTCAGCGAGCAGCCTGAGCAAAAGTCGGAGGTCGAGTAGATGAACAACAAGGATGAAGAGTATTTATTAAACGACACGATTGATTATTTTGAAAGAAGTGTTTCTGCTACGTGAATAAAAAATACCGGCCCGGCTTTATTGTACATTACGATAACAGAATACGAGAAACTACAGAAGAGGAAAGGCAAAGCTGATAGTCGAAATCTCAAGAGCGATATACTCGTCGAAAACTGATTCAAAGCCTAGAGATGCACGTTGTACGACGCTTGCTTCAGAATTGTGCGCAACTGCTCCCTGGCCTCATCCGCTTCTTCTCTGGCATTTGTTGTTCTGCCATTCACGGAAGTCATACCCTCAAAAAAATTTTCCTGGTGAGATTAAAGCACGCATACCTTGACGTACGGGTGGTCCAAGCATTTCCAAGCAAAGGGTCTTCGTTGCGGGTCCCGGTCTAGCATCTGGCGCAGTAGGCTGATCAGTTCCTCATTTTTCCGGGTGGTCTCCTCTAGAAGGCGGCGTTGATTTTACTAGCGGTTTGAGATTTATAAGAGAATTTTTGAGGCACATTTAAAAAATACAAAGCATACCTTCCGTCGCCGCCCGGCACCAATGTACCACTTTGGGGCGCACTAGCTCATCGAATTTTGTCCCATTACCGCCGAAGACGTATTCGTGCTGTAATGGCGTAGTTTCTACTCTTCTCTACAGCGTATACCAACAAAACACGCCTTCTAATACGACGCAGAAACATCGGATCGGACGATAGTTATACCGTTCAAAATCCCTTTGAAACGGCGAGTTTGAAAAAATTTTCAAACCATATTTTCTATTGAAACGCGCCATTTTACATTGAATCAAAAACATTATGCAAACTGGAAAACAGTACAATTCTACAAAATGGCTTCTAAAGCGCGTTTAAATAAAAACATGGTTTCGAAGATTGTGGCAAGCTCGCCGTTTCAACAGCTTTCGAATGGGGCAACTATCGTTCAGATCCGATACGTCTGCATCGACTTAGAGCGTTGCGCTTTTTTACTGGGACACTCTGTCTCTCCTCTCTCTTCTCTTCTCTCTTCTCTCTCTCGCTCCCTTTTCTCTCTCTCTCTCTCTCCTCTCTCTCTCTCCCTGTCTTACCTTCTTCTCGATCGCCTTGAATGGCGCAGTCGAAAATAATTCCGCGCTTTCCTTTGTATCTGGGGTCATCAGTTGAAAGCGCTTCGTGGTACCGCCGGCATCTGACCAGGACTCACGGTCATTTAGTGACTGTACTTTCTGGTAAGAGTTTACTTTACCCTTCCCCCACAGCCGAAGGGTCTCAAAGTTTTCGGTATTTTCGCTTATTTTGTCGCGATTTTGGTACACATAGGATAACGGGGGGAATAAAATAACGGGGGGGGCACTCATTATTATGAAATTTGCAATTACTGAGGGATTTTGCGAATGCCATTCGATAGAGCGTCGAAAAATATACTAAGAGAATTAATTTCAGCCCGAAATAATGTAATAGAAATTTTTTATTGAATAAACAAAAATTGAGGAAAATCTATGGGCAGCACATAGGATAACGGGGGGAAAGTCAAATTTTCGAAATTTTCGACATTTTCGGTATTTTGAAAACGTCATTCGATAAAGCGTCGAAAACTGCCTTAGGAAAATTAATTTCAGCCCGGAATAATGTAAATGAAATTTTTTATCGAATAAACAAAAATTGATCAAAATCCATGGGCAGCACATAGGATAACGGGGGGAAAGCCAAATTTTTGAGATTTTCGATATTTTGAAAACGCGAATCGATAGAACATCAAAAAATATACTAAGAGATTTTTTTACAACGCGAAAAAATTTATTATAAAAGTTTTATAGCCTAAAAACTATTTTTGAAAACTATGGGCAGCACATAGGATAACAGGGGGGGAAAAAATTTTCGGCGTTTTGAATATTTTCGAGATTTTGAAAATGCCATTCGATAGAGGACCGAAAAATATACTAAGAGTTTTTTTTACAGCCCGAAAAAAGCTTATTTAAAAATACTTTTATCATATAAAAAGTTTGAGTGCCCCCCCGTTATTTTTTCCCCCCCCGTTATCCGATGTGTACCGCGATTTTTGCAACGCGATTCGATAGAGCGTCGAAAAATATACTAGAAGTTTTAATTTGAGCCTACAATAATGTAAAATAAAAAAGTTATAGCCAAAAACTTCCGGCTGGTGGGGGGGGGTAAAGTAAACCGTAGCCTACTTACTCGAATCATCACCAAAAGCCTCTAGCATGACAAGCGCGGCGCACCAAATGTCGACTAAATCTCATGTACAGAAAAAATTCCAACTTTACTCACGCCTCGCGTCGTACTGTCCATTGCCGGCAAGGGCTTCTGGCGGATAGTAGGCTTTTGGGGTCCGGGGTTGGATCGTGTGCTGTTGTTCCGAGTTGACGAATCTGATAAAAAATCCTGAATTTTGGAAAAGGTTAAAACAGGAAGAAGTCGATAAAATGAAGTTCCATGGCTTACCGCGAGACGCCAAAGTCAAAGAGCTTCACGTCGAAACCCTCGCGACTCATCAAGATCCCGATGTTTTTCGGAGTGAAATCCTGAAAAAAAACTGAAAGATATGCTACACTAGCCCTACCCGGTGGATGATACCAATTGTGTGTAGATGATTGAGGGTTACTAGCAGCTGGTAGAACAGCTTTTCCAGGTTTTGATGGCTATAGGGTCGCGGTTGAGTTGCGCCACTGAATGTTATTTTATCGTGGCATTACTTCTCTTATTTAAATGG